TCCATACATCCACTAAACCCATGGGCCCATCCCATGGTCTTGTCAACTAACCACTAAACCCATGGGCCCAGCCCGCAACATCATTATAAGTCATAAAGTTTCCACATTTATGACTTTCCATGTCTAGAAAAGGTCCAAAAGCCAAAACCTTAACTTATTAATCCATTAAGACATCATGGCCCTTTCATGGAAGGAATAGAAGGATAAATATCACATTTTTATGGATCCTAAAAGCTTCATAATGGATAAAGTTTCCAAATTTATCTATTATAATGGTTCAAACCACCAAGATCTAGCCTTTAAGTATCAAAGGGGCCAAAAGTGCATCTTTTTCAACTTAATCCATTAAGTCCAAGTCTCCAACCTTCATATTTGAATCCCAATGATGTTTAGATGGATAAAGTTTCCAACTTCATCCATAACAAGGTCGCAAACTTTCAAGATCTAAACTTTATGTACTAAAATGACCAAAAACTCATAACATCTAAAACTAGCTAGATCTAACAAATGCATCATCAAGATTCAAACTTTATACCTCTAGAAGATAGATCAAGGTGAACAAGGTTTGGATCTACATGCTCCAATGCAACCAACACTTCTTCAATGAGTTCCTTCTTCTCCAAGGTACACCAAGAACACTCCAAAACACTTAAAAACACCTTATTTTTGCTTACAAGGCTCAATCTAGGGCTAGGGTTACAAGAGAGGGTGTTGGAGAGGTGGAGGCTGAGAATGGAATGGGTTTGGGGGAGATAAGGAGCTTAAATAGGGCTTAAACCATGAAAATAGGGTTTAGGCACTGATCGCATATGCCCGACATACTCAATTTACACCCAGTGTACTAAGGATGCCCTAGTACGCCCAGTGTACACGTTGAGTACGCCCAGCGTACGCGGCTCCACCCAAAACCGCCCTAACTTCAAACGGTCATAACTTCTTCGTTCCAACTCTGTTTTCGAAGATCTTTATATCCACATAAAGATATTGAGGAAATATAGAATCCTATATAATTACTTTTGACTTAAAACATATCGAACTAAAATCCATAATTCATAAAAGAAGTCTGAAACACCACTTTCGCATTTAACCCTTTGACCCCAAAGCGAACTTCGTTCCAAATCGAACTATTGGATCACATAGCTACATAACCCACATCCAAATGGGCCTAAACCTATCTTCCCACAAAGCCCAAAACCTTATGATACTTGATCTTCGGGTCACGACCCTAAATTGTGAAATGAATCGAAAGAAGGTGTTACAACCCATCCCAACGGCCACCTCCAAAACGCCAAGCTAATCTTGCCCACTACAACAACCCCCAACCCTTGTCGATCCCTCCTGGTACTTTGACTTTGGAGCCACTAATCATGCCTTACCAGATCTACAACGTTTAACTGTTGCGGATGAATACCAAGGATCAGACAAGCTTCAAGTGGGTAATGGTAAACATTTGTCTATTTCTCATGTGGGTTCATGTTCACTGCATCATCTTAAGTTGTCTAATGTTTTTGTTCTCTCTCAACTCACAAAAAATTTACTTAGTGTTTATAAAATCACAAATGACAATCAATTATTTATTGAATTTTGGCCTCACTCTTGTTCTGTTAAGATCTTTCAGGGAAAAACACTTATCCGCTGAGACGTTAAATATGGTTTATACCGGCTTCCTTCTTCACTCAATAAACCCAAGGTCGATCTTTTCGATGTTCATACTACCTTACACGGATGACACAAACGACTTGCACATCCTCATGAACCGATCTTGCAACACCTAGTCTCTTCCTTCCAACTTCCTCTTAGTTCAAATATACTTCTACCCGTGTGTGACTCTTGTCAACTTGGCAAGAGTCATCATTTTCATCTTCTTACTTCTCATGTTACATCTCATAAATATTTTGATTTAATGTACTCGGACTTTTGGGTTCCTTCCCCGGTTTTTTTCTATGAATGGTCATCACTATTTTGTTCCTTTTATTGATGAGTGCACCAAGTTTGTATGGATTTACTTTTTATCTCACAAATCTCAAGTTTTTTTCTAGCTTTGTTCAATTTAGAAAAATGATTAATACCCAATTTAATTGTGATATAAAATGTCTTCAAACCGATTAGGGTGGTGAATTCCGTAATGTATTCACCTTCTTATGCACCTATGATATTGCCCATAGACTTTCATGTCCCCACACACTCGAAAAAAAACGGAGTCGTTGAATGTCAAAATCATATCATTGTTGAAAAGGGTCTTACTTTTATTGCTCACTCATCAATTCCACAACTTTTTTGGTAACATGCTTTTCACACCGCCACCTATCTTCACAATCAAACCATCACTCCTAACCAAAATTATAAATCACCTTACCAACTCCTATACAACTAAACACCTGATTATGGCTTTCTAAAAAATTTGGTTGTCTTTGTTACCCTTTTCTTTGCCCTTACACGCATCACAAAATCGACTCTAGATCACTTTCATGTGTCTCCATTGACTACGACCCCTCACATAAAGGACACCGATTACCTTTTATGGTGTAATCTATACATATTGTGTTTTAATTTTTATTTTTCGATGGTGGGTGATGTTATGGTTTGGGAATTTGATGAATCAATGAGAAGGATATTTTGTGGGTTGAGGGGGTGAGGGTTTGGTATAGGAAAGAGTTGGTGGAGACTAATAACACCGGTGAGAGGGTGGAAAGGAGGCCAACATATATTGTTCCGACAGCCATTGTAGGTCGTGAGAAGAAAGGGAACGAGATGTTTGAGAGACATGATGTGGAGAAAGCCTACATATATTTAGGTGGTTTATTTGAGTTTTTTCTTATTTACATTAATGGTCTCTGTAGTTTTCTTAAATAAATGACAAAAAATAAAGAAGGTCATATATATTATTTCACAAGTATTTAGCTAATATTTTTAGGGAAAACTGCAATAAAGTCCCTACATATTGGCCTCATAATATATTTTTTTTATTCAATTAAGTCCCAAATACCGGTAATCGTATTCAATTTAACCCTTTGACCCGGTCAACAGGTCATCCAACTTTCAAAAATTACATTTTTGGCCCAGATTTCAAATTTTATTACAAATTCGGTCCATAATTTACACTTTTGGCCCAGATTTTAAATTTTGTTACAAATTTGGTCCAAACTTTACCCTTTTTGCCCAAATTTTAGAATTTCATTATGAATTCATCATAACTTTAGTTTTTTTACAAATTTCTTTCTCAAAAATTTGTTTCTAATATGTTTTTTCTTTATAAAATCATATTTATACAAAAAAAACATATTTTCACATAAAAATCTTATATTTTCTATATAAAAAATTTTTTGTATATGAAATATCTAGTTATAAAAATAGGTATTTATTAAGTATATAAATATATACAAATCCGTTTTTATAAAAAAATGTAAACAAAAACGTATTTTACAAAAAAAAATGTATACAAATCAGTTTTTATATAATACGTGTTTGTATACATTTTTTTTATAAAAACAGATTTGTATATATTTATATACTTAATAAATACCTATTTTTATAACTAGATATTTCATATACAAAAAACTTTTTATATAGAAAATATAAGATTTTTATGTGAAAATACGTTTTTTGTTTATAAATATGATTTTATACAAATCCGTTTTTATAAAAAAATGTATACAAAAACGTATTTTACAAAAAAAATGTATACAAAAACGTATTTTACAAAAAAATGTATACAAATCCGTTTTTATATAATACGTGTTTGTATACATTTTTTTGTAAAATACGTTTTTGTATACATTTTTTTTAATAAAAACGGATTTGTATATATTTATATACTTAATAAATACCTATTTTTATAACTAGATATTTCATATACAAAAAACTTTTTATATAGAAAATATAAGATTTTTATGTGAAAATATGTTTTTTTTGTATAAATATGATTTTATAAAGAAAAAACATATTAAAAACAATTATTTGAGGAAAAAAGTTGTAAAAAAACTAAATTTAGGATGAATTCATAATAAAATTCTAAAATTTGGGCAAAAAGGATAAAATTTGGACCAAATTTGTAACAAAATTTAAAATGTGGGCCAAAAGTGTAAATTTTGGACTGAATTTGTAATAAAATTTGAAATCTGGGCCAAAAATGTAATTTTTGAAAGTTGGATAACCTGTTGACCGTGTTAAAGGGTTAAATTGAATACGATTACCGGTATTTGAGACTTAATTGAATAAAAAAAATATATAGAGACTAAATCGATTATGAAGCCTATATATAGGACTTTATTGTAGTTTTTCCATATTTTTAAGAGAGTTAATTAAAAAAAAAAACTAATCGTTCTTGATTTTAAAACCACAAAAACCACTGATGTAATGCTTTTGAAAGATATCTTAATAAGTACGTTTTTAAAATCCACAAAGACCCATTTATAAATTTTTGTCTTTTTTTTTATATAATTGTAAACTACACGCGTAGGAATCCTGTGTAGAGGAGCTGTTCGCTAGCGAAAACTACCCCACACCTAATGGTTATGGTTGTCTTATGGAGTGGTGGCTATCATGGACGTTCACCAATTCCTTTTTATCTATCTCTTTGTCTTCCTTTTCTTTCTCTTTTTCTTTTTCATTGGTTCTTCATACCATCCCAAAATATAGTGAGTTTGTTGTCGAAGCGCATATGATTATGATGATGTGTGAATTGTGAACATACATCGTAGTCTTATGTGGGTATCCGAATATTATACTCGGGTGACTATTGGATGTATGGGAAAACGAGAACAAAATAGAAAATCTACTTTTTCACATTCTGAAAAGCTGAAATTTGTGTTTCTCGATTAAATAATTCTTATTGCTTTACTTGTACGCAATGCATAAACACTTGTATGTAACCCTGGATTAGAAAGCTCACAATATCGGGCAACACAAAAACATCAGGCAACTCCAAACAATTTTTGTCCACTCATTTATTGTTATTCGCCGGCACCCCATCTGAGCAGCTTTGTAGTCGCCGGAAAGAGATGACGATCTCCGGCAACGCCGTCGATCCACCCAAACAAACCCTAATCTTTTCTTACGGCACTCTTAAACGAGGATTCGCTAACCACACCTTGATGCAGGATTTAATCTCTAGTAACGACGCCGTTTTCATCGGCAATTACATCACCGACCTCCACCTACCTCTCGTCCGTGGTCCCCATGGCGTACCGTTCCTCCTCAACCTCCCTGGGACGGGTCGCCACCGTGTCCGTGGCGAGCTTTACTCTGTTTCGGATGCTGGACTTCAACGCCTCGATGTGCTTGAAGGCATTACCCTTGGACATTACGAGAGGCTTCCGATTACTGTTTCTCCGGAAATTCGTGATGCTGGTAGCGGTGGCCGTCGAGTGGCGGTACGTGCTGAGGCGTATTATGCGCACCGGAGTTTTGCGGAGGATATGTGGCGGAGGAGCGGACAGGAGGGATTTGAGTCGTTTAGTCAGGAAGTGGCTAAGGGTTACGTTCGGAGGGATTTGAGGCCGAAGGATCGGACTTTCCGTGAGCAGATTACATTGTTTTGTTCATCAATTTAGATGAAAATCCTGAAGGTTTGATTTTAATTCCTGAATTCATGGCCTTACAATTTCATTAAGGAACTGCGATTGTATTAGCTTCGAGATTACTGTAATTGGTACTCGAATTATCATTGTTTATCGTAAGTATATTACTTCTTCCCAACTGATTCACTGTTTTTGGTATAACTTTATGAAATTAGTGCAATCATAAGTTCTCCATATCTTATAAACGAATCTGAATTTGATCTCTTTCTGGTAATTTGGCCTATTGATGCTTGAAAAATGTGTTATTTGCAGAAGAGAGTGCTTATTCCTGCTATATCTGTACTCCCTTTTCAACAATTTCTTGAAGCAACTGAAGTTGCTATGTGGTCTGAATAAATCTTCATCCAGATTGCAGTGTAAGATATTACAGATTCAGAAAAGTTTGAAACTAAGCTCATTGATTAGTGGTAATATACCCAATTACCCATGTAATTAACTAATTATGCATTTGCAACTCCATAATTGAGGGACAACAATGACATTATTTTAGTTCTCCATTGATATCTGTTTTACTACACACGATATATTAATTACTATATAGTAGTATATACTTACACTACAAGGTGTACAAATAGCATAAAAACACAAACTTCACATACTTGTTACATAACAAACACATACTAGCTTAAATACAAACTTGAACACAAACACAATATTTGGAAGAAACTTAATAGCGGATTACACCATTTATGTGATCTTTGATCCTTCATGTTGCAACCATTAAGATAATAGTGCAACTCAAGCACATACAACCTTGACAGTGTTTGTTTCATCTATGACACATATGCAACCTTCACCACACTCGAAATATGTATTTCCAGCTTCAGACCCCTCAGTTTTGGTTACAACACAAGACCAACCTTCACCACACTCGCAAAATACTTTAGCTCCTTCTGTACTCTCCACCGTCTCTTTAACACTTTTCTCACTGCAACATCATATCGCGCTTCAGGACAAGACATGACATGATAGGACAAATTACATGATGACTGATTGTATTATCATTGATATGCATTGGACTGAGATTCAGGCCGAAGACAAAAGTTGCAATCATTTATCTTACCCAAAAAGGGGTGACGGGGATTTGTTTTTGATTTCATGTTTGTGCAAAAAGACAAGAATGCCCTTCTCATCCTGATCATCAAAACTAGCCCTAGAAAGTAAAGTGTGAGCATAAGAGAACATACGTGATACATGAGCAACCATTGCCACCACATATTGCGAATGGTTTACCGATCTTAGAAGGCTCAGTTTTGGTGATGGTGCATGTCCATCCTTCTGGGCACTTGAAATTCGGCTTGTTTTCATTGCTTTACACAAAAGGTAGTAAATCACTTAATCTAGCCCGTATTTAGTAAACATGAATTCATTAATTTTATAATTAATCTTGATTAAAAAATTTATAGAATTAGTTTGAAAAGGTTAAATGAAGAAGCAAAACCTGGGAGAAGGTTGGCTCACACTCTTAGACTCCATACTTAGGCCAAGCAAATCTTGAACCTTTCTTTTCTTGACGTTGCTATATAATACTATTATCGCTTAGCTTTAAGTTAATAATTTTTGTCCATTTTTAATAATTTTTGTGTTCATAATATTTTATTATTATTTTGTGGTTGTCAAATACCTAACGTGTAATCAATGGTAAAGTGGTGGGAAAATCTCACTTTTATCTCCCACTATATTTTTGTCCACTTATGTTAAATGATTTGTGCCACACTTGTCTTTTTGTATCATGTGGCTTTCATTACCTAACCTAGAACTTGGACTCAGAATTGGGCTTTGATGTCTATGGGTAGAGATTAAGATGGGCTTGTGTATGGGCCTGAGCCTGAAGATTGGGGTTGGGCTTAGGGTTTGCAGATTGGCCCAAGTGCAAGTTCTGATGAGAGTATGTGACATAAGCTATATGCTATGCTTTTAACAAAAGTTTTGGCTCCATTTAAGAGTAATGTACAAGGGTTGACTTGGCATCCTTTTGGATGAAACTAATGATTTGAGTATATCACATGGGGAGGAAGCATAGTGCCCACAATGAAAATGAAATGGGTATTTAGCTGTCTTCCTATAAATATAATATCATCCACTAAAATATAAAAAAGTTAAAATCATGTGTCAAGTTACCATTGTCATATTTGTTTTTTTTATCTTTAACCCATTGGTTGTTGGAGACAAGCATGATAGGGGGCATATAAAGAAGAATCAAGAATAAGTAAATGTGAAGTAAAGAGTGAATTTACGTCTTTCATATATACTAGAGATCAAGAATGAATATATGTTTCATGTAACAAAAAATTGTAATAGTGGTGGTCCTTATCACATGGATAACCCACTAATGTGATCAATGGGAGACTTAAACATTTTTAATTAAGTGAATGTATTTATGTAAGTTAATTAATCAAAAGGTATGTGGTCTAGTAATATTAAAGAATTATTGAAAAGCTGTCTTTTAGGTTTTGAAGATTGTCAATTAAATTTATCAAATATGTAAAATAACATGTATTAAGACAAAGGAAAATCCAATCTATAATATCCTCCAAAGTGTCCCTCAAGATCAGTCCAATGAAATCCCAATTCTCACAAATATAACATTAAACCGAAAACACCAATAATCGCTAGTACACCCTTCTCATAGTTGGTATACGTGAATACTGCAACCAAATCACCTTCTCCTTCTTCTCCATGCAAACCCTTCATCACGAAGTCGGGTTTGTTCCTTTTTATACTCATTAACCTCATGAACTCATCCACATTGTTTCAATTATCATAATAAAAAATGAAATAACTCTCATTAGTTACATTTAGGTCCTTCCACTTGAACCACCAACATAAAATACCCTAAATTTCAATGTACTTGAAGATTTTTAACCATATGAGACTTTCTCTTTCTCAATTTGCCAAAGCCCTTATACAAACATATAAACCTGACATACTCATGTCAATAAACTAAAATAATTGCAGGAAAGGTATTTATGCGTCGAAAAGCTAACCTCAATTCATACGTGTTACATATGAATCCTTCTATTTTGATCATTTCGTTAAAAAAAAAAGCTCAAAGAGATTTTAAGCATTTGAAAACACCATAATGATTAGTTGTTTCAGTTTTAACTAAAACTAAAAAATGCCACCTATTTAACCCCCTAGATATAGGTTTTTAATCAAATAATCTTTTTAAATTAAGTAAATTAGCTAAAATTAGTGTAACGTGTATTTTAAAATGGTTTAAAATGATGATAAGATGTGGGTGACAGCAAAATTGGTCCATATATATATGTCGATCCGTGGTGCGCTAGCTCTCTCGGTGAAGTGCGCCGTAGGTAGGTGGAGCCTGGACCCAATATGGGATCGATACACCCACTTTCAAGTCACCATGTGCATACTCATTCATAGTTTTTGACGTCTAGCTTCCTCGGAATTCCTATAAATAGCATTTCAAGATCTTTGTAGTTACTCAAACTTTCCTAAAATGGCTTCTCGGAAAGTTGTTCTTAGTGTTTTCTTTGTCTTCTTTTGCATTGGCATTTGCTCAGCCACCAGATCACTTTTCAGTTATGAGAGTATCGGTGGTGGTGGAGGAGGAGGTAGTGGTAGTGGTGGAGGTGGAGGTGGACATGTAGGGCTTGGATATGGTTCGTATGGTGGTGGTGGTCAGGGTTCCGGGAGTGGTAGTGGTAGTGGGTATGGAGGAGGAGGTGAACATGGCGGAGGATATGGTGGTGGTGGTGGTGGGGGCCAAGGTGGTGGAGGTGGATATGCTGGTGGTGGTGGGTATGAACATGTTCCTAGTTATGGAGGAGGAGGTGGTGGTGGTACGGGAAGTGGTTCAGGGTATGGTGGGTATGGAGAACATGGCAGTGGGTATGGAGGTGGAGGTGGTGGAGGGAGTGGCGGTGGTAGTGGTGGGTACTATGGGGCTGGTGGGGAGCATGCAGGAGGTTACGGTGGAGGTTCGGGAAGTGGTAGCGGTGGTGGGTATGGAGCCGGTGGGGATAATGGTCATGGGTACGGTGGTGGAGGTGGACAGGGAGGTGGAGGTGGTGGAGGATCAGGAGGTGGAGGACCAGGAGGTGGTGGCGCAGGTGGATATGGAAGTGGCGGTGGAGAAGGTGGCGGTGCAGGAGGAGCATACGGTGGTGCATATGGTAGCGGTGGAGGTGGTGGGGGAGGAGGTGGTGGAGGAGGAGGAGGTGGTGGTGAACATGGAGGTGGATACGGTGGTGGTGGTGGAAATGGGGCTGGTGGTGGTCATGGGGGCTATATTCCATGAAAGCCCAGTTCTGTCATATTTACATGGTTTCTAATTATCCTAAAAGATTATTGGTTTAATTCAATGTTGGGTTGTATTATGCTCATTTCTCAAATTAATTCAAATTAATATTCAGATTAATGGTGCAATATATTTTTTACTTCCGAAAGTTCTGTTTGAAGTTAGGCAATTATTTTAAAGGCTTGCAATCAAGGATATCCATTTGGTTGAAATTAGATCGAATCCAAACTCATTAATACTGATATACATAGAGAACTAAAAATCGTACCAATATTGATTTAATTTTGGGTTATAAGTTATAAGGATTGTAGTAAGGCTAAATCTTACTGTAATTGGATAAAAGCGATATCTAGACATTAGATTAGGCTTTGTTAAACATAAGAAAATCGTACCAAATTGATTTGTAATCGAGTTAAACATCAATATTAGGGTTCTTACTTGGTATATCTGAAGTCAATTAGCGAAATCCTCTTAGCTACCCCTAAATCCTTCCCAACGTTCATATTACTCTGAGCCCGAAATATTATGGCTCAAACGAAACTTAGGGTTCTATTTAAGCAGTCACTAAGCAAAGCTAATTGTAGTCTCAAAATTTGTGTTTGGCCAGTCTCGAAATCCATTTCAGATAACGTGTTTCAACATGGTTTCTCCAAAATTTCAATTAATGAATACAATTCGTCTTCTGATTAGCTTCTTTTGCCCTAAAATTTAATTTATTCATAGATTGATGTCAGGTAGATGTTCGTTGAGGTTCCGACGGTATGTACGTCTTTTTTAGTGTAAAGTTGAAGAAAAATGCATTATCTGTGTTCTTCAATAGATGTTGATGAATTCGATTGTTATATATTTACTGATTCCTATCTCTTTGTCCTATGTGTTCATAGTGTTCATGATTCATAATTTATAATCTTTACATATATGCCTCATCTCAACTTCTTACACTGAAAAATTGTTGCTCATAGTTGAGAATTAGTCATAAGATATGGGGCAACGACATCTTTTTAGCCCATCATGTAACACCTGCAGATCCGGTCTAGTCAATTAAGGTATTATAAGTAATAAAAAATGACTTTTCGGTAGAAGATTATTTAGGATAAATAATCTTAACCAAAGTTATAGTATATGCGACGAGGATTTCGTACACATAAAGGATGCTCATATCCGACTTCGAGTGAAGACGTTACGACCTTCCAGAGTTTCGCATTCAAACATTATGTCGTAAATAGTGAATTGGAGATAGGTTGCTTATTAACGTAACTAATCTAAACAAAAGTCATAGAAAACGAGAAAGAGAACTCGTGCATAGGTAGAACGTCTAAATCTGACTTCGTATGAAGAAGTTATGATTTTTTGAAGATTCTGTACGACTTGGTATAGCAGTGTGCGACACAAAAATCAAATTTCAGATCGAATGATTGTTAGCCTAAACAATCTACATGAGAATCGAAGATCTCGTCCATAGGAGAGTGTCGGTATAAAGATAGTCAAGAGCGGAGTTTGTATGAAGGAAATATGAATTTCGCACGAACTGTAACACTCTAAACCAGTCTAAAATATGAATTTTAGTTAGATCAAGAATTAGATGTTGAGGTCTAAAGAAAACTTGTAGGTCTCGCCGATGGGATTCCGGGGATATAAAAAACGTTGAAAATGGAGCTCGTATGAAGATGTTATGTTTTTCGAAAATCTAGAAATTCGCGCACGACGCTTGCTGATGACGTGGAAGAATGAGAGGGCGCCATGTGGCATTGTCGGGAGGTCGAGTTCTCCGAGAGATACGACGATGTGACACCATGAGGTTGCAACACGTAGCACGATAAGAAGCGGACACGTAGCTGATTCTAGAAGGGAGTGAGGTGGACCATCAATATTCCGACACATGGAAAGTGACCAGAGGAGCTACCCAGACGCGTGTGCGTGGCGCACCTAGCTGTCAGGCTATATATGCCCTTGTTTTCTTGCTCATTTGTCACATTTTTTCTCCCTAAATCTCCCAACTTCTCTGAGATCGATTTTAGAAGTTTTTGAGGGTCTATAGCGGAGCTTTGGAGCATCAGAGAGCCCCACTAAGTAAAAACTTTTGGTTTCGGAATTTTGTCCGCAAAATCTCTTGGTTTTCGCTTAAAATCTCTATAAGTTAAGCTAAACTATATCGCTTTCAGTGTAACTTATATTTATAGTCATAAGTCGTTATTATCAACATATAAATAAGATTTATAAGTAATTCCAAGTCATTATACTGAATGATCTACTTATGGGAGTGATGCCTAGGCTGGATTTAGTGAGGTGTTTAAAGTGAGATTTCCAAACAGTATACTTTGTATACCAAACGGACCCTACCTACGATATGATCCTACCTGGTTATTCCTTACTTGATAGATCTTGATGTAGACATTGAGATTATCGAGGAATCTAGACTATTATTTATATAGTCACCATGAGGATGAAACTAGACTAAGACTTAACATTATGTATATCTAGGTCATTTGGAAAAGTGTTAAGGCGAAGCGCTGCCCTAACCGCGAATCACCTACCTCTATCTCGTGAGTGCATAGTTACCTTCAGCTTACACATAGATATCAAGTATTAATTTGCTTGAATGCTATATGTGATTATTATATGAGTTCCTGATATATGTGCTACATGAGATAATGATTTTTCCTAAAATATTGTATATGTATTTTACCGTACTCATAATACATTAGGTAGAATGGGTAGAAAGAGATAAGAGAAATGAGATAACAGTTAGAGACTATAAGATAAGAGATAATGGTGAGAGACCATAAAAGAAAAGAGATAATGACGAGAGACCATAAGAGAAATGAGGGAGACCATAAGAGAAATGAGATAATAGCGAGCGACCATAAGAGAAACGAGATATTAGTACAGGACCATAGAGAAAGTGGTATTTGATATGACCTTATTCAACTATATAATTTAGGTCATTATCTTAATATATTCGATTAAAATGTTATATTTTTATGTAACGTCCCATTTTCACAACCAACATTTTTTCATTTTATTAAGGTGAAAACTTTCAAATTTATGAATCCATTATTAAGAAAACCGTTTATTCCAAATTACATTTGTTCAAAATCAAAGTTTTATAGAAAATGTGGAATCCTCAATACTGTTGATGCGTGTGTACCGCCCGCCTTCGCCTTCCCATAGACTCCAATGATACCTGAAACAATAAACAACTGGATAAGCATAAAGCTTAGTGAGTTTTCCCCCAAAATACCGCATACCAAACATAACATATAATGGGCCCTGCCCAAAATGAAATACGGGCCCCGACCACACTCGCATAATGGGCCCCGCCCACACTCGAATAACAATGAGATACGGGCCCCGCCTACACTCGAATAACGAGCCTCACCCAATGAGATACGGGCCCCGCCCAATGAGATACGAGCCCCACCCACACTAAAATAATAATGAGATACGGGCCCCGCCCACACTCGAATAACGGTCCCCGACCAATGACATACGGGCCCTGTCCACACTCAAATAATAATGAGATACGAGCCCCGCCCACACTCAAATAACGTAAACACATAACAGATAATTATATAACATGCAAACACATGCCATAATCCCAAAGTTCAATAGCATACAGACTAGTCTCCAGGCCCCGCTCGGCATCGGGTCGTACCCGGTAATCATAAAAACACACGCACAAATCTAACTGATCACTACAGCATGGCAACATACTCGATACCAGAACACAGATCTACCATATTACTATAGCAAACCAACATACTCGATACAGAACACAGATCTAACAGATCACTACAACATAACAACAAACTCGATACCAGAACACAAATATACCAGATTACTATAGCATAGCAGCATACTCGATACCAGAACACAAATCTACCATATTACTATAGCATTACAGCATACTCGACACCAGAACACAGATCTAACAGATCACTATAGCATAACAACATACTAAATATCAACAATCCAAGGAATGCATGGCCGAATATACTCATAGGTGAGATAGTCACTCGGACAGGTGATCCTACTCTAGAACCACAACCAAACAAGGAACAGGTAAAAGAACTTAGATCAAGAGTCCCCAGTCTATCCTACATAACTATATACAGTCCCTAGGGCATCCCTCTACTAGCATATAACCAAAGCTAGTGGGCCGGCATTGGTGCCTTCGACCCACGGGTATAGTGAGGCGAGACTCACCTCGATAAGCACGAAGATAACCACTGTAGCAATGAAGAACTCTACCAGTTTCAACTCACTTTCAATCACCTACGGGAAGATACTTGAGTCAATACCCAATCACAATTCATAGTCACTTGCAGTAGTGACCACTTCACATGAAATGACGATTAGGGTTTCACATGAAATGACGATTAGGGTTAAGTAATAACACTTAACCCATCAAGGACTTAATCACTTAAGGTATGACTGATTAAGGTTTGACTTAGTCATTCTCGGGCGAATAACAATCCAATCAATAGCCCGAATACACGCCCGGTCATTGTCCAGATAGAGCTCTCCGATTCTAGGGTTTTTCACATAAAATGATAACTAGGGTTAGTATTCCACACATAACCCCTTAAGGACTTAATCCATTAAGTCCAATATTGCATTAAGTTAGTAGTAGATAATTATTAAGTATTATTTTAAGTTTAATTAATTGTTTTAATACGGGTCCATATCAATTCCAAAATTAGGGTTTCATGACATTAGGGTTTTCTTAACCCTAATTAGGGTTTATAACCCCAAACTCGTGCCACTCGGATTAAATTTAATTGTTTAGATAATTCAGTGCTAAATAGGTCGGGCACCACCCACTGCCACCTCGGGCAGTGGTGGTTGCGGCGGTCCATGGCGACAGTCACCATTTTTGATGGTGGTGGTTAATAATTTTTAACCCCAAAACATTATCAAAGCAATCCGGTAAACATAAAACATCCATCCAACACACACACATATGCATACATCCACCCAAGGTGGCGGCTGGTGGTGGT